AAATTTTAGTCCAAATATCAGCAGTCAGCAAACCATAAATGTGAAATGATAACATGAAAAAATTCATAAATCCAAAATAGTACCTCACAATCTCGTATCGGCTAAATTCCGGTAGAGACTTAAGCAGAAAGCATGCGAATACCTGAAATTCAACTTCCTTTGAATACAACTTCAATAACTATACAATTTTAGTTGCAAATTTGTCGTAGAATTACATTCAGCATGCATCCCTAACAAACCGCAAACTCAAAAATAAACCAATACAAAACGAAACGAAACGAAATGAAATGAAGGATCGCAAACCTCATCGCAATGAAACTTCCCATCATGCGTTCCTATCGAAGGCATTCCCCGAGTCAACGAAACTGTTGAACCTAAACGATACGAACTGCTACAGAATTTGCGTAACGTTTTTAAAACGGTATCTGCAAACTTACAAATTGAATAATCTGTAACACGGCTATGATATAAGTCCACAATGAGATCGCTAAGACAGCTACGGTTCGTCTGAACTGACACAGCACCACGAATGAAATGGAATGTGGGCTAAGGAATCACAGAGAAAATTTTAATACGATCCATCAGTTTGTAATTACATTGGTATTTCTTGTGGGTTCGAGCTAGAGTTCCCTTTTCCGGCTAACGAACCGACTCCCTGGAATCGATTCAGCCGCAGGTAAGGATACTGTTAAAACTCTTGACGATAATTCAGTATCACTATTCGACGTCCAACGAATCTTACCAAACTGTGCAAAACGTTAGCATATGATATTCTGAATTCTGATCAAATTCCTAATCTGAAGCAGTCATTTGCCCCGAATTCAATGTGGCTTTGGAAATCTTAAAGATACAATTCTTTTTTTCTCGCTTCCACCTCATCACCTGTGCCTTGAATGTGCGGAAGAATTTGGCGATGTCAATGAATTTTGCAGCAACTTGTTAGAAACTTGTTCTCGACTGCAGGGATGAGCAATAATCACAGCGATAATGGGAATGTTTGAAAGTTCATAATCAACGATATAGACGATGAACAGCACAATCTTCTCACGTAAAAACTGATTTTATTACGGCTAATCATGGTGAGAGATCAACAAAAACAACAACAATGATGTGTCAACAAACAAAAACTCAGCACTCTACGGCACTTGCTCCTCGTTCGAATCACACTCTGAATATATCCAAAACACAATTTCAACAGTTATCAGACGACCACATGTCCGATATTCATTAAAATACGATAGAACATAAAAAGCAACAAGTTAAATTTTGATATCACAAGAGACCACGTGCTGAGATATAGATTTGATTGGCAAAATGATATGATATGTCTTCAAATTTCGTGAGTCCGTGGACTAGATAAGAACAATTGGGCAGTAATATCGATAAACGTAACAATTTGATAATGTGAAAAAAAAAGGATTAAATGAAAACCATATAAAACACATTAGCACGTCGCATAGTTAAGATCAGGAAAAGCATCGTTTCCTTAGAACATATCTGAGAAAAAACAATTTAACAAAAAACATACTCGAGGAAACTGCCGCAAAACACAATAGATATTTATTGAATATATCTTCTTTAGTAAAACGTTTTCATTATTTTAAAATCTTTAAAAGTTCGAACAAAAAATTTAGTACAGTTTAAAACAACAATGACTCTTTGCATAGATCATGGCTTTGAATTTTTGAATGTAGTGCTCAAATCATGAACAACATGCACTATGCTTGAAGATGAACGCAGAAGGTCAATCGATTAGAACCTTTCTGATGCTTTCGTCAGTCTTTAATCTGATTTCATCATCTCTGTGTTGTTGATCACTTTTGATATGCAGCAGTTTACTTTGCAATTCTTCTTTGATGTTCCCATGTTTCTGCTGTTGTTCTCTTAGTTGGCTTATGAGCAAGTCAAATCGTGAAGAAGCTTCCTCACTCGTATCAGGCGGTTGTTCTTGAGCGTTCCGATCTGTTGCGGCTAGTGGTTGTTCGAATATCAACATCAATTCATCTAAGCCGAAATTCTGCAATCGTGCACTTGAATAAACTGGTGCATGCATACAAAATACAAAATTACTCGAGGAAAAGCTTAAGCCAATATCTTCTCCCGAAAAAGTTGAAAATTTAAGAGTAAAGTAAAGGATGACTGAATAAAACTCAATTTTTTTCCATTGCTTAAGCAACATAAAATGTTGATGCAATGCTAACTACAAATAATGCCATTCTATGATACTATCGCCACAACTCTGCCTCTATCGTTTTAAAATATGAATGAGAGAAATTACATATGAAGGAGCGAAATCGTTTAGGGGGATACCTTCAATTGGTCTTGTTCTTTTCTTCGTTGATTCGCAAACCATTTTCTCGTATCGGCTATCGATAAACCCGCTCGTTCACTTATCTCCTGAACTGTCTGCTTGGGTGGATAACGGTCGAGCTAAAATCATCAATTTTGAGAGAGAACATGGTTTTTCGACAACTACTATAGGATTAGCTCGATGAGGACTTCATCGAGGTGATCCTGTTGCGGTTGCCGAGTTGAGCACTTCACACAGAAGCTTTCAAAGTTCACGAGTACATGGTATGAGCATGGATACGGAGTTTTAAAAATGAGCGAATTTGGTTTTACAAGCGATTTAGGTTGTACAAGCGAGTGACTTAGCGATCGCTGCAATCACACCGTCTCGCTTATGGATCAAGTCATTTAGTACAATAAATGCCGAGAAATGTACTGAGCAGTTCTAGCTGTGAGCTCAATAAGGTGNTAAATTGCTTCACGGGAACAATCAACAAAATATGGTTAAGGAACTGGTAACACACAAGGAAAAATATTCAACAGCGAACGAAAGATTATGATCATTATAATGATAGCAATGAACGAGCGAACAGTTGTGGATGGCATAATATCAGGGTACAATAGCATATCGGACGAAAGTAGTAAAATGATGAACCTCGAAGTACTCTTCAAGAATCGACTGCTGAGAAGGAGTCCACCTTGATTTCCTCACTTGACGCTTCTCACCGTTTGCCTTTGTACGCTTTCCAGACACTTCGGTATTATTATTCTGGGAAAAGCTTTAGGCATTAGTAAACAGTTTTACAGTAAAGCATATCAGTTCATATCAATTCAAGCATTCATAAAACAAAAGTATTTGAAAGCTTGAATTGCTCCAAAGGAAGCACTTCTTTTGGGTTGTTAATCATAAGAGGGTCAACGCCGTATTCGATGGTGATTACACAGAAAAAGCAGACACTGGAACCGTTTTAGGGCTCTGCGGAACACAAATATAAGCTGTAGCTCTTTCACAGTTTTTCAGTTACCCAATAGGATGGTTCGAAAAAATTCTGATCAAAACAGTTTCAACTTGAGTCGAAAAATATGGATTTGCCCACTTCAAGCAAACAAATTACTCACTTTATCGACGCGCTGTCGTTTACGAGTTTTATTATTTTCTGGAAGCGTTTTGCTGGCATCGGAAACATTGGTGACAATCTTGCGATGGCGTCGTTTGCTCACCTTTCGACTACTGTCACTGCTGTCTGAGGATGGAATCTCTAGAATTTATGACATCAACAAATGATCTTTATCATTATATCTTGAATCTTCATTCCTAAAACTTGATTGGCTGATGAATCAGTTTACATTCAGATATTATATTCACTTCGTCCGTCCCGCTTACTCCATGAACAACAACAAACAACGGTGAATTATTTCCATTGTCGACAAGTCATGGCCACAGGTATATTCGAAACCCCATTCCAATTCGGAGCCAGTCTAGCCAATTGAAAAACCTTTGTGAATGCATTCAGTGAGAAATTCAATGAGCAATTTTTGAGATGTATCCATGCGCTTGGGTAATTCTTGGTCGGATGTTCCCATCGGAAATGAAAAGTATGAAGTGTGGGCTCACCTTCAACGGAAGGTGACCGACGAAGTGTTTTGTGCGTGCGAGGATTTGGTGGTTGTTCATTGGGCTTCGATGCCGATGGCCTGAAGATTAGTTTAGACAAGATATGTCAGTGAATTTTTGATTACGTTTAATTAACAAATCAACCGGTTAAATTCTTACGTATTTTCGAAAAATATTCGTTTACTTTTGGTTCCTCAGCAGAATGAAATTTGGATCGAAGAAGTTTTCGAGAAGTTCAAGNGCAGTTAATCATTAGTTTCGATTGATGGAAATTTGCCCTCACATTTTCTTTCGTTGCAGTTTCAGCCCTGGCGGAAGCATATGGATCGTAAGATTTGGTGCACCTCTCAGTTTATAAACCCGTGTGGTTTTCTGCAAAAGCAATTAATGATTATCATCATTTTAAGTGGATCAACAATGGATATTTCCAATGGTCAACATTTTTTGCCAGTGAATGAGAGTTTTTATAATTGATTCTTGAAACATCAGCGTTGAAGTTTCACGGGCCTTAAGGGTGCACCGAAATTTCGTGACGAATTCATGATCAGTTCCGACAAAAGGCGATGAAAGGGCTAACCTCGGCTATCGTAGCATTGCCAGGGGTCGTTTCTGCCTGTGGTACTTTACTAGTGATGTGATCAACTGGTTGAGTGTTGCACTTGCCATCAGTATTGATCAGTTCACTGATTGAAACATTATTTTTATCACTATCACTATCACTAGCATTATTCTTATGATCATGGTTATCCTTATCAGTGTCATTATCCTCATTGTTGGAACTGTCATCAATCTTGTCCTTACCGCTGCTATCCGGCTCACCGGTGCCGTTGGGTCCGTTCTTATCGGCACCAGGAGCATCGTCTTCAATGCGCACTACACTGAC